CACTGGATTAAGTAAACATCAACAGTAAATAAGATATTGGATTAAGGTAATAACTCAGTAAAAATAAATTTTTCTTTGAAGCAAACATAAATATTTCTGAAATATATATCAAGGAGGTGCTGTAACCAATATAAGCCTTATATAAATACTTAGTAATAGGTTAACATATTTTAGGGTAACTAAAGCTTGATTTTAAGTACAGTTTATGGTTTACCTCAAAAGCTGATTTATTTTACAAGGCAATGTTTCTCGATAGACACAGTTACATTGTTCGTACATTTGTATTTTAATTTAAACTAAATTATTATAACAGAAAATATACATTAATTGAAAAAAAATATTAAATATTTTGCGCTAAAATTAGTTATACAACATAATTTGGAATATTAGTACTTAACGTTCAAAATAATAAGAATATTATAAAAATACAGACCAATTAGGTAACATGAAGTGTGTAGAGTGAATCATTAGTATAATGTTTTACATAATAATATCTATACCTTTTAAACAATAAATGTATGATTCACTGGTATAGTTATATTTGCTTAACGTATCTGATATCTAAATACAAATATCACTCTATAAATATTGTCCTTTGTGTAGGCTATTTCGTGTGTATTTAACTAGGAATGATTATGATATAATCGTAACATTCTGTATATTTTACACTATTTTATAACACGTTATGATATATAAGTTTTTTGGTTATTCTGTAGACAAAGACCTTGACATTTTGGCCAGGAAATACTTATACGAAGCAGGTCTTAACTATAACCATGGAACCGGTCATGGCATAGGTGCCTTCCTCAGTGTTCACGAATGTAAGATATTTCTTTATTGTCCTGTCTTCTACTGTGGCACTGTTGTTTGTTGGTAAAATATTTAACGTTCAAATCATCATATTCCAGTTCTTAAATGTGACTGCACTAAATGGAGTAAGTATTTCGATGAGGGAATGGCGTAATTCTAGTCGAGATTACACGCTGTTTCGAAGGTATGAAATTTTTAGAGCATAAGGCGCTTTTAGCCTTCTTTACTAAAATTAACACTCTTAGTTGCTAATAGTCATTAAGCATTTAACTTATAAGCATTAAGTTGATGTCACTATTAATCTATGGTTTCTTTTTATGCCGAAACCATCGATCATCTTGTCTCATTAGTATTAGGAAAGTTCAATCAAATCTGTTTTCCTAAAACATTTTCATTCGTTGTTAGTCGTTGTAACGTGTTCTAAAAGTAAAAAAAAACAGAAACTTCATTGAACTTCACACGATAAATATACAAATGCATAACAAGAAAACCTAATCTAACAATCTAAATGTTGAAAAATAGAAAGTATCCAAAGTCAAAACCTGTTAAACTAAAGTATAGAAACTAAAGTGTGTTTAAATTTAACGCCTGTTGATTGTTGAAGATTTGAGGTAAATAAATATTAGTTTAGTTTTATACCATTAGTGAAAAATAATAGAAATGAATAAAAACCCTATAACCTTCGAAAGGTGGACCTTTCTTCTTCAGGGGCAAACTGGGAATGGTAGTGTAATAGAATGAGTGATATATATATATAAAGGGAGTTTATTGATGTCATGAAAGTCATCCGGTTTTCCAGGAAATATTTAGTCCATTTCTCTATGTACTGTTGTCAGCATCTCATTTCCGGTACAGTGTAGCCGATAGCGAGAGTGTTTGTGAAAAAGTGTTAGGGATATTTAACTTTAGAAATTTAAATTTATTTAAAACTATACTTAAGTGTTTAAGTAAAATAAAGGTGACATCTGTAGACTGATTGAAAAGATATGTTATGGTAATCAATTTATAAAAACAGGTATCGAAAATTATCTTGGGACAAACTGGGAATGGCGGTGTTTTAGGAAATTCAGCGTTCACATTACATTAAAAAAATAAGCAACGAATAAAAAATATTTTTCTGACAGAGATGAAACCAATGAACGGAGATCACTGATTCCAGGTTCTAGATTAATTCCATATGGTTGAACAGTGTTTAGATTAGCAATCCAATAAACTTCTTTTATTTCTGTATATGCTTTAGTTTTGAATCCTGTTTCAATGCCGATGAGAGTAACATCGTTAATGGAATGACCGGGTTTGTTAAATTGTTGAGCAACTTTTCGGTGTTAATAGAAGATTTATGGTTGTTGAAACGTTTTCCAAGAGTTGTTTGTGTATGTCCTACATATTGGTAATTGCATTTTTTTTACAACTAAGCCCTGTAAAACCTCGTACATGGACAAGTTACATAAACGATATATTTTACATTTGTACAGCCGGTCTTAAATCACTTAAATAATTTATCTCACATGCAAACTCCTTTCACAAAACAATCAAGTTTACCTGTGATTAATCGCCTACTCAGATTAACTTTCTTGACGTCACTATTCTTTTTAAAAGACGGAATTTTATACACTGACTTGTACAAAAAAACCTACAGACAGACCTCAATACCTTCACTATAAAAGTTGTCCCCCATCTCACACTAAACGAAACATTACCTACAGTCAAGCTCTTAGAATAAAGAAAATATGCTCAGATGAAACGGACTAAAAGAAAACACATCAAGGATTTAAAACAAACCATGTTACAAAGAGGATATAAAGATACCGAAATTGACAGAGAAATTAAAAAGGCTGACAATACTCAACGGCAAAACATCCTAAATCAGAACAATACTAAACTTTCAAATATAATTCATCTTATTATTACCTATCAGTTTAAACTCAGAAACGTTTCACGAATTCTGAAAAAAAAAAACATTTTCATCTCCTACAACTGAACGATTGCCTTAAACAGATATTTCCTGAAGTTCTCGTTGTCTCCGTTCGAAAAAGTTGTTGTCCATGTAATAAAGCCCATTGTCAAACTTGCAATTTCATAAAACCACTGACTCATTTTCTGACAAACACAATCAAAGAAACTTTAAAATATCCCAACAAATCACTTCTGAAACAAAAAACAACATATACCTCAAACAGTGTAAAAAATGCAATTACCAGTATGTAAGACATACACAAACAACTCTTAGAGAACGTTTCAACAACCATAAATGTTCTATTAACACCGAAAAAAGATCTCCCCGTTGCTCAACAATTTAACCATCCCGGTCATTCTGTTAACGATGTTACTCTCATTGGCATTAAAACAGGATTCAAAACTAAAGCAGATAGAAAAATAAAGGAAGCTTATTGGATTGCTAATCTAAACACTGTTCGATCTTTCGGAATTAATCTAGATCCTGGAATCAGTGATCTCCGTACATTGAATTCATCTCTATAAGAAAAATAATTTTTGATTCGTTGCTTCTTTTTTTCATGTAATGTGAACGCGAATTTCCTAAAACTTACTATTCACTTTGAAGAAGAAAGGGTGCACCTTTCGAAGGTTATAGGGTTTTTATTAATTTATATTAAGACTTCTTGAACCTACGTGTTTTTCTAACACCATGAGTGAAAAATGATATCAAGTTATCTGCTCTTAATAAAAATTCTTTATTTAAAAATAGCTTATTACAATACGTGTTTTTACAGACTTGTTTATGCCTTTTCCTGGGTAAAACGAAGTACGGTACGGCATAAATTGTATTTAAACATAAACTATGGTTAAAGCAACATATTAAAATATTAAAACTTTTCTGATCGAGAAAGTAAAACCATATAACCGATGTTGAAGTAATATAAGTAAAACGTAACTAAATTACTTAATATACATAGTGCTCAGACATTTAGGATCATTTATGTTATGACTGAAACTTAATTAGTTTAGATCTAGAAACGAATTGAAACATCACGTTCGACTATAGAAGTTTCTTATAATCTTCTTAATTCAGTCGTTATGGGTTTTAAACCAGAATTTGAGGAAGAAAAATCAGGTCTACTTTCGCTTAAAATCCATAATGGATTGACAGAGAAGCGACTACAAAAAAAAATTAAGGCATGTCTTTATCCACCATAAGCCGTGGCCAAGAAGACCTTTTATTTGATGACAGAACTCATCAGCTAAGCCTGCTTAATATAAGAAATTGATTTTGAATTTAATATTAAACACAAATGTTATGTTCAGTGGTTCAACTGATGAAAAACAGAGCCTATTGATAATTTTTTGAAATTATATGTTTAAGTGCCAGTATCTCTCTTTGTCTACGTGACGTTTATAGATGCAGAATGTCTCACATTTTTCAGTACGATGATAATCAAAATTCACAAAAAAGTCCAAGATGCTGCATTATAAGGTTTAAGGCTTCAAAGATTACCTAATAAATTATATGAAACTACCGACCATGTCGTTATAAAACTAATTATAATTAGGTCCCCATCACTTCCATTAATTTTGTAATGCAATTTTCTGAAATTTGCCTTACTCTTCCCAAACCTTTATTGAATTAACCCCGGACCGCCAATTTCAGAAAGTTAAATATCTATTGCTTTTTACGATAACTGTAAAACATCAGGAATAAATTGTGTAACTGTATCTGAAAAGTAATGGCAATATTACATTCCTTACAAATTACGATATTGAACCTTCTTTATGTCTAAGAAGTAAATTTTAATATACATTAAAGTGACTTCTTAATATTCTATTCTACAAAATTACAACTGTAATTCAATGCGTAGTTTCTATTGTAAAATTTTCAATCTGTCTTTATTTTCACTCTTAATCATTTGATAACATTGTTCTACGTCGGAGAAAGTTAGAGAATGTAGCAAATTATAATCATGTGGAAGTTTGTTTTGGCAAATCGTGAAAGCTCTTTAGGTTTCGGAAATGAGAGGAAGAAAAGCTCTTTAGGTTTCGGAAGTGAGAGGAAGAAAAGCTCTTTAGGTTTCGGAAGTGAGAGGAAGGAAAGCTCTTTAGGTTTCGGAAGTGAGAGGAAGGAAAGTTCGTTAGGTTTCGGAAGTGAGAGGAAAGAACGCATTAGACCCTGTCTTTCCATTTTAAGACGTTACCTAACACCAAATGATTAAAGTATTAGATACAAAAATCGTATATATGTACAACTAGGTACTTGTAATTCTTTCAGACGTAATATAGTAAAGCATCAAGAATCCCTTCAGTGGCACACCGGTATGTCTGCGGACTTACAACCATAGAAACCTGGTTTCGATACTCGTGGTGGGCAGAGCACAAATATCCCATTGTGTAGCTTTGTGCTGAACTACAAACAGACAAGCATTAAGAACTGAAGAATTTTCTATTATTTGTAAACAGCTTGGAGAAAAATAACCTTACACCTTTTAAGAACCTAGTTAAAAATTAACTAGGTAGTAATCAATACTTGTTGGAATATTTAAAATTATGGATAATGAAAGTACAATTAACCTCATTGGAATATCTAAAATTATGGATAATGAAAGTACAATTAATCTCTTTGGAATATTTAAAATCATGGATAATGAAAGTACAATTAACCTCATTGGAATATCTAAAATTATGGATAATGAAAGTACAATTAATCTCTTTGGAATATTTAAAATTGTGGATAATGAAAGTACAATTAACCTGTGTGGACGAAATTATTGTTCTCGTTGGTGTTATGTTATATCTATCCCGTTAACTCTAGGATTTTAGACTCAATCCTTGCGGTGGATACAGCGTAGACAGTCCATTGTACAATTTTGTGCTAACGTCATTAAATCTCACGTTTCTAGATACGATAAATTAATATATATCCTTATCCTCTTGTTGATATATTCATAAACTGGATCGTGACTTTTCTGCGAAGTCCGGTGGCAGTAGGTACTGTTGATTGGCTGCATATCATTTAGTTTATCAGTTAAAAATGGCGAATGGTGCACAGATAACCGTTTGCGTAGTTGTAAATAAATATTCAAAACAAAATATTTTTCGGCTATTAAATGCTAAGTTTTAAAATGACATTTTTATGTATATTGCTTTAATTCAATTTATGGACAGTTCGCCAATATTATTAACTGTAGTTACTTTCATAGACCTCCAAAATACTCTAAGTTTAGTTTTTATCAAAGAGTTCAGTGGTTCTGAAATTATGTTTACAGTAAGCACAAGTAACATACTATTGGAACATTTTATTCATGTGTTAGCTTTTAAGTTTTCTATTCTTAGAAACATAGAATTAAAGCGTGCTTTTCATATGAAGAAAATTCTCGACTCTACAAATCAATAAAATAAGAAAATGCTTTTCGCTATGTAGTAAACTTGTATTCTTGCTTCAAATAATTCTTTACATTTGTATTACTGAATTAGAATATTTAATTTATCCATTTTTATGATGACAATAAGCGCTCTTCATGTATCGAACGTTTGTTTTGTAATTATAAAAATTTAGTTGTGCTTGCTAATTCAGCTTAAGTGTTTAAAGTGTATAATAAAAAAAGTGAAAGTTAGCTACAGTTAATCACTATTGATCGGGCATCAAATTTCCAATGTTGCTACTAGTAAACTTTTGGCTTTAAGCATAAAAAAAAAATCCTTTTCGAATAGAAATATTTATAAAGCGGGGTTCATAAACCATATAGAACAAAATGGACGCAACATTTCGAAGGAGTAAATCTTAAGTACTTTCCTTAGAAACAGGAAAACTGGTTCATAAACCATATAGAACAAAATGGGCGCAACATTTCGAAGGAGTAAATCTTAAGTACTTTCCTTAGAAACAGGAAAACTCACACAGTGAAGCGTTTAAAAAGTAAATTATCCTCAGTTACTGTCCTTTCGAATTAAATATCCGTCTCGTAGATATTTTTCATTCAGTCCACGTTGGTAGATGAGCATTTCGTAAAGGAGGCTTTACTTCTTTACAGTTTGTAAATTTCACTTCAAAGTGAATTCTAGTCAGCAGTTAGAATAGCTGGCTTTCTATGTTGAATAGATTCTAACTTGAATATTTCTCTAAATGAACTGTCCATTTTTGTGTATCTGATACATAGTCATCGACACAAAAGTCTAATGAGAATACAAAGCACTCTGTTTAGTCAATTTGCTTTTCATCAACACACGTGGCAACGAGTATTGCACGTAGGGGTGATAATTTTTATACTTAAGGCTGGAACCAGTTGTTTAAATACGCCCCACAAAATTCATAGGATGTGAACCCTATAATGTTTGTCATCAATGGTATCATTTTGCAAGAATTAGAGACTGGTGCGTTCTGTAATGCTTATTTCTTCATATACCAAACTTTCACCACTGCTGTATAAAAACAGTACCGCATCTGGTTTCAGATTATCTCTAAATGATAATATACCTGTTATATGACTCCACAACCTATTTGCAAAAGGAATATTGCTCCACGAGTCACATCCCTCAAAGAGTCAGTGATAAGTTTACTAAGTTACAAGACAAAAACCCGGGTTTAATTCCCCGTGGTGGATAGCCTATTACACTAAAGCAACACACACACACACACACTGTCCATTTGTGGCTAGGAGCATTAGATTCACTCCCAGAACAAAATACCATAAAATTGCAGCGACTTAGAATCTACTAATAATGTTCGTTTGTTTTGTGTTGTGAGTGATGGTCTGGATTGTCCAATTATCCAAACAATCGTATCATTGGTTTGAGAATAACTTCACATTCTAATATTGAGACAGTTATAACTAGTTAGAAACAAACTTATGACGGATCAGCTCCAACTAGCCGATGACTCTCCGCATACGTGAAATATATATGTATTTTCTTTAACGTTTAGCTGCGATTTGTGAATAATGTGAAGTGTGTTAAAGTGTGATTCACTTCAAAATAACAATCAAGACAAGGTTTCATGAGACTTCTATATATCTAGTTTAGGCTGATTATATCAGTCATTAACTTTTCAGATCTCGACTAATCATCTAATACGTGATTAACATGACAGTGAATTGATCTGGTAATTGGCATTATTTTGTAACAGGCCCCCCAGTGGCACAGAGGTATGTCTGCGGACTTACAACGCTAGAATCTGGGTTTCGATACTTGTGGTGGGCAGAGCACAGATAGGCCCATTGTGTTGCTTTGTGCTTAACTTCAAACAAACAAACAAATATTTTGTAACAGTAATTTTGTCTTTTCACAACATTAAACATCTTAACTATCCTTTAATTCTCTGTCGTTCCAGTAGTTATACATTATTATCACAACTCCAGAACACAGATCTATTTTGAATTCATGTTTTTATTACAGGTTATTAGCAGGTTCTGAGAAAAGCTGCTTTTACAGTCATTTAACTATAAAAGGTGAATTTCAAAATCGTAAAGTTTTATTCATTAAACCATCAGGAAATGGGATTTAAGCTAGATATTTCAAACGAGAAAGAAAATTGTTTTTTTTACGAATTTAATATCTAAGTTAATAAGTGAAAATGACCTTCAAATTAAGGAAGGTTAAAAGAGCTAAGATAAACAAAAAAATTGTATGCACTTTTAGAAGTATGTATTTGTACGATTTCTGTGCATGAGATGAAAATTGAGCTTATTACGTTTTTAACTGTACGCACCCTGAATCTTTAAAAAAAAATTATAATCAGGTAGAGCGGTAGCGATGCCTATGTAGGGGTGAGTCCGGTTCTCGTTTTTCGTTCTTCCATTCTGTCAGCTGTAACTCATAAACCACAGCATGCCTGCTTCCAGCCTGCACACCAAGACACTTAGCTACTCCACAGGATGTGCCTTTTCAACCTAGAGCCTAGGTTAGTCACAGCCCAAAATATATATATACGATGATACAGATTGTTTAATATTGCCCAATACGCATATCAATCAGTAGATGGCGTCAGAAACTAGCAATATAAAATTTTATTCTAACATTTTTGGGATGTAGGGAGGAAGAAAGATCAGAAACCAGAGAGTACTTGGGGTGGGAGGGTAATGCAAGTTTCCATCCCTATACATCAACAATTTTATAATAAAATTTTATATTGCTAGTATATATGTGATGTATACATAAGCCTTATATAAACGCATACACATGAAACTAACGTCAAATATTATTAGCCGTTATTTGTCTGGCAAATTCAGAATATCTTAACTTGATATATCATTTTAAATAACAAAACAGAGATATGCTGTTTATTTCGAGGTTGTACATATATTAATATAATGTGTTTTAATTACCCAGTTCCTCCACGAATCTTTTCAACTTATCCAGACATTAACGTGGTACTCAAAGCTGGAATGTTTTGTTCGGATGGTAAGTCAAAACATTTATAACACTTAATCTTAACAAGTAGATTAAACACTTTCTTGTTCTGAGACTGATGATGATAATCTTTGACTTTTCCTGCATTTCATTTATATGTTAGTAATAGTTTAGTAATAGATTATAAACACGAAGTCATTTCTTATATATACTATTTGCCTGATCTCAAGAATATATTAACATGAATATATATAAAAAATGGACCGGGCGTGGCCAAGTGATTATTATGTTGGAATATAAATCGAAGGGTCCAAGGTTCAAGACGTGAAGCTGCTAAATATGAGTTATAGAATTAACATTTATTGACGTTTGTTCCTTGCATAATTAAGGACATTTGTATAGGACACAGTGGCGTATTTTCCGTGTTACCTCCTAGTTTACCGGCTGTAAACCAGTCTTGGGAGAATTAAAAAAATGGTGTTATAGTGTTTTAGTCAGTATAAAAATATTTGTATCTCATCCATCACTAGCACAAACATATAATAACTTCAGTTTTGAAAAAAACTGTGACACCAGGTGTTATTTACACGAGATCGTGACTGTGCAAGTACTGATTATATGTGTCGTCTATGGTGATTGGTGCGGCGAAGACACCTCAGCCTATCAGCGTGCGTTAAACACCTTGGAAGTATATCGCTCATGATTGCGATGCAAAGTAAGGTAGTAAATACCAGATGGCGCTAATTTTGTATTATTTATTATGCTAAGTCCTAATTTACTCTTAGTTACGCATTTTTGATGATGATTTTGGATATTTCTATATGTTTTGATTACTGTTATACAAGTGTGTGTATATATATATATATATAAGTGCGACAAACCAAAGCCACCGGCCAGAATATGCCACTGATAGGACACTACAAGTTGTCGTTCTCGCTGAAAATTCTATCTAGTTTTATCTCCTACATCAAAAATCGTTAAAATGTTAGAGAAAAAAACTCATATGGTCAAAGTTTTGGCCTAATATGGCCATTCCTCTCTTTCGGCGTTTTTATTGTATTTTCTAATATAGAATGATTTTACTGGTTGTTACTCATGGTTAAGAAGCCCATAGTTCCT